CTTTCGAACGCCAAGGTTCGTTGGCCCACAAGGTTATCAAGAAGACCCACGGAGAGCCCAGCCCCGTCCTTGAGGCAGGCTCGGTCGACCATGCACTGGCGGGCCAGCCGGCGCTTGAGAGGGTGCTAGCTGACTGGCTCCCCTCTGGTCTGACCCCAGTCGGAGCGGCCAGGAGCACCCAGGCCTGTGGGACGTCAGCGAGTGGGCTCTGCCGCCGATCACGGTGGACGACATCAAGTTCGCGGCGCGCAAGTTCTCCAGGCACACGGGCCTTGGCTGGGACAACTTCCACCCGCGGCTGCTGCTGGAGGTGGGAGAGGACATCCTTGCCAGGCTCGCCAGCTTGCTCAACGCTTGGGAGCGCGCTCCCTACTGCGGCGAGATGTGGACCGTGATCATGGTATTCCTGCCGAAGCCCGATCGAGGGCAGCGGCCCATCGGGCTCATGCCGCTGTTGGCCAGGATCTGGTCAAGGGTGCGCCAGGGCTACACGGCCAAATGGGAGAGGTCGCTGGAGCACCCCCCTTCTGGGGTACCTCAGCTTCGAGAGGATGTGACAAGGCGGCGTGGCTCCACAATGTTTTTGTAGCCCACGCCAAGCACGTGCAAGAGGAAGCCGCGTCCATCTACATGGATTTGCAGAAGTACTACGAGCACATTGGCCACGCCGAGCTCAAGGTGGCGGCGCGGGCATGGGGTTTCGACCTTGGGCTGCTCAGAGCCCTTTTGCGTCACCTACCTGGCGCCGCGGCGGGCGCGCATCAGCTCCTGCCTCAGCGAGGCGGTGGCGCCCAACGGCACGGTCGTGGCTGGTTGCTCCTGCGCCACGGCGCTGGCGAAGCTGCTTTTGCTCTCGGCCTTGCGGGCCGCGGCGGCGGCGGCACCCATGGCCAGGCTGCTCAACGTGGTGGATGACGTCTCGGCCCACGTCACAGGGCCCCGCTCCATGGTGGCCCAGCAGCTGGGAGCTACCTACAGGGTTTTCTGCGAGAAGGTGCGCGAGGCCAACCTGCCACTGAGCAGGCACAAGACCAAGGCGCTGGCCACGAGCAAGGAGCTGCGCCATGCGCTGATGCAGCAACCTGGCTGGGACCTCGGGCCAGACGACATTGTGGACATGCACAGGGACCTTGGAGGGGACGCGATCTCAGGGTCGTACCGCCGCGTCACGACGGCGGCCACACGAGAACTACAGGCGCGAGCCCAGGGCAGGAAGCTCACCTGCCTTTTTTCCGCCCTGGGCTGGACCGTGCGAGGGTCTACCGTGCGGGCCCCACGGCCAAGGCCACCTGGGGCTCGGCCATCATGGGCGTCCCGAATGGCAGGCTGCGCCAGCTGCGTGTCGGGGCGATCAAGGCGAGAGGACGCTTGCCCCGTGGAGCGGCCTTGGGGCTTGCCGGCCTAGTCCAGGCCAGTGGCTGGAAGAGGGACCCGCTGACCATTGCCACCAGGACCGCGCTCATGGCCTACGTCGAGGTGATCTGGGCCTCGTTGCTGCCTGAGGCGGCAGCCCGCTCCTGCCTGGCCAGGGGCACGGAGCTCGCCCAGCAACGGCATCCTTGGCGGCAGGTCAAGGACCCCATCAGCGCTCTGGTCCTCACTTTGGATCACGTCGGCTGGGGCTTCTTGCAGGGCGACCCCTACCTGGTTCACGACAGCACAGGAGCAGCCTACGATGTCAGGAGGCACTCTCCCGCATTCTTTGGCAGCCTGGTGGCGCTGCAGTGCCGTGTCGCAATTGGGCTGGAGGAGGTGGCCAGGCAGGGTCCCAGCATGTGGGGCTGGAGCCTTCCGCCCTTCTGGCAACCGATCCTTGATCTGGCCAGTCATCGGTCGCAGGTCTGGGACCAGCACCACCAGCGGGCGCTGCGCAGCCTCATCCAGAACACCCACTGGTGCCAGGCTAGGGTGGCAGCGGCGGACAGCTCGCGATCGGTGCCGTCTAATTGCCAGCTCTGCGGTTTCAAGGACGGCTCGCTTTTCCACCGGCGGTTTCGTTGCGAGGCGCACGAGGCTTGGAGGCGCGACTAGTTGGATGAGCAGCTGCGCGGAGCCGCTGATCGAGTGGAAGGCCTTGGCTTCCCGTTCACCGACCTGTTCGTCAGGGGCCTCTTCCCTGACATTTCGGAGTTGATGGCTAGGCCTGTTCGACCAGAGGCGGACTACTTCGAGAGTTCGACGGGCTGATACACCTTGGGACCGCACCTCAACGGGCACCACGTCTTTGTTGATGGCTCGGGCCTCGACCAGGCCTGCCCGCGCCTGCGCACCGCTGGTTGGTCAGTGGTGGTCTACGGCGAGTCCTACAGGCTTGTGGCGGAGGCGTGGGGAGCGGTTTCGATTGCTGCGGCCCCCGAGCAGCTGGCCAGAGATGGCGAGGACTACGCGGTGAATGTCCTCACGTCGCAGGTGGCAGGGGGCAGCTACAGGCTCTACATTGACTGCATGGCCACAGCGCGTTGCGCTGCCAACCCGTCGGCAGCTGCCGCAGCCAGCGGCCAGCGCGCGCACCTTTGGGCTGGCCAAGCAGAGCAGCTGCAGGACGTAACGGTCGTCAAGATCAATGCCCATCAGGGCCCCAAGGCTGTCGTGGACGGCCTAGTCTCGCAGTTCGAGCTGGATGGCAACGCTCGGGCCGACAGGCGTGCCAAGCAGGGCGCGACGGCGGCCAGGGCGAACCTCAGCGACATCCTCGTGGTCGAGGGCTGCCTGTCGCTGGCCCGCCGGGCGGCGCGGTTCGCTGCCGCGCACGAGGTGCAGCTGTCGCGTACGAGCATGCTCGACTCCATGGGAGTGGTGGCGCTGAAGCTCATCGACCTCGGCGAGCGGCCGCAGTGGCCAGCGGAGTTCGAGGATGAGGGTGAGGACGTGGAAGGTGAGGCCGCGGCCAGCTCCCAGGCGCCAGGTGGCAGTGTCCCGTCGGAGCCCGACGCCGCGCCTGCTGGCCTGCAACCTTGGCGCGTCGCTGGGCACGCGCTGCTCGCCGCGCCCATTTTTGTTGATGAAAAGGCGCGCGAGGCCCAGCAGTCTTGCGGCACCCTCCTCTTTTGTACGACGTGCCGCGGGTACGTATCTGATAAGCGGGATCGAGGCCTTCAGGATAAATGTCCAGGAGGCCCGATCCCAAGTGCCAAGAACAATAATTCCGCTCTGAAGCACCTGAAGCACCCCAAAGGGAAGAGGCTTCTAGGGAGCTTGCGGTCGCCTGAGGAGTCCGAGATCATTTTTTGGTCTGGGCATTTTCCCCCCGAGCCTCCTGTTGTTGCCCAAACGGGTACCCTAACGGCTGGCCCTAAGAGGCCCAGCGTCCTGGAGGTCTTGTCTTCGTTCGGGCTTCAGCTGGCAGAGGCCCAGCTGTTGGGGTCCAGAGCCCTGGAGGCCAGGGCAGAGGCCCAAGCCCGCAGGGCCCGTGGTGTTTCGGGCCCTGAGGATCCCCTCGACCTGTCCAGCGTGGTCCCTGGCGCGGCAATCCTTGGCTGGGGCTGAGTCTGGGATGCGTGGGGGGTCCCTGGGTCGAATTCGTGTGGAGGACCCTTTTTGGGTCGAGTCCAGCCTCCTCCTCCTCCTCCTCGTCCTCCTCCTCCTCCTCCTCCTCCTCCTCCTCCTCCTCCTCCTCCTCCTCCTCCTCCTCCTCCTCCTGCTCGTATCCACCTTTACGCCTCCTCCATCCTCATTTATCCCAGCCCTCCGCCCCCCGCCTATCTCATCTCATCGCTCCTCCTCCTCCTCTCTGCTCATCATCCTCCTCCTCCCCCTTTCCCCGCCATCCTCCCCCTCCTCCTCATAACTCCTCCTCCTCCTCCTCCTCGCGCATCCCGTCCTCTCCACCTCCTCCCTCCTCCTCCTCCTCCTCCTCCCCCCTCCCTCCTCCTCTCGACCCTTCGAGCGCCTCTCCGGGGGTCGGCCCCGCTCCCTCCGGGGCCCGGCCATGGCCCCTGCGGTCGGACCTGGCATGGAAGTCGGGGGCGGCAAAGAGGGGGGTGATGACTTGGGGGGGTGGATATCATGGCGGGGGCCATGATATCTCCCCTGATCTCGTGGCGCCCCTTCTCAACTCATCACGTCCCTGGCCCCCCGCCCGGGGCCGCGCACATGCTGCCCCCCCCCACCAAAAAAAAAAAGGGGGGTGGGGGGGCCCCCCCCCATGATTGGACACCCCCCCCTCTTGGACACCCCCCTCTGGCCGCTACGAGAAGAGCGAGCAGCGCATTCATCGACACAATCAAAACAGCATAACAGAAAACGTGGCGCTCCGCGCGGATCCTGGTCACGCGCCTGGCGTGCCCCCCCCCCCCCCCCCCCAGCCACCCCCCCCGACTCCCCCCCTTCCTCCACACCCCCACCATATCTCCCCCCCCCCCCCCCCCCCCCCTCCCCCCCCCCCCCCCCCTACCCACCCCACCACCCCCCACTCCCAACCCCCTTCCCCCCCCCCCTCCCCCCCCACCCGCCCCCCCATCCCCCCCCCCCCCCACCACAGCGGCGCCTCCGGCGCCGCACCTGGCGCGTTCCGCGCGCCAGGGAGGGGGGTCCCGCGCAGATCCAAGAAATCCGCGCGGAGCGCCAAAAGTTTCTGTTTATGTTGTTGCTTTCTTTTATAATAAATATACAGTCGAGGTTGATGAGTACGTCGGCCCTGCCAAATCAAGTGTGCCCTCGTGCCCTGCGTTTCGCGACCCCTGCCTTCTGCATTCCTGTGGCAATGTGGCCCTCGGAAGGGTCTGGTGTGTGTGTCCTCTCCAATCAACCCCGACTGTACATCTCCGCGTGGATTTCTCGGACCTGCGAAGGATCCCTCTGGCGGCGCCTCCGGCGTCGCCCCTGGCGCGCTCCGCGCGCCAGGGAGGGGCTTCCGTCGCCGATTTAAGAAATCTGCGCGTACCTTCGACAATGTATGTGTATGTTGGTGCTTCTTCTGCTGTGCCAGCGGCCTTATTCAGGCAAACTGGTTGTCGTGCTACCGATGGCGCCAGTGTCCTCCCTTGCAAGCAGTGCGCTCGCTAGCTGCCGCAGCTCCGTTTGTTCCCGCACTGTTTCCGCCTGTGTCCAATATGGTTTTGGACGCTGGGTCCCATTGTCGGCAAGCTTGTTGTCGGCAGCCTCGCTCTTCTGGCTCACAGTTTGCTTGTACCTCTCCGACCCACGGGGTCCAGAGGCAGGCTTCAGCCAGATTTTTGTATCAACCAGTTTAGATTGAACATCCGCTTGTGCTTGCTATGAGTTGCACTGGTCTCGACTACCCGATGCTGGGCTCGTATGCTGCAGCATTGGGAGTTCACTGCTTGATAGCAGGATCTACAGACTGCAGTTACACGTTATGGACACTGATATCCTCTCTCCCCTAATTCTTTCCGAAGATAGCCGGTTCTCTCCGCGCATTGTTTCACAACGGATTTTAAATACATGGTTTTCTCATGGTTTATTTACCATCCGATTGTTTTCGGTGTTTCAAATTGGTGTTTCCGCAGCAGCGTGGGTCTCATTTTCGGATCGACGCTTTGCTCGTCCTTTTTGATCGTTGTCGTTCCCCCCATGCTTCCTCCGCATATCCCTGGTCCGCCTGCTCCTTCCGCGCCTTCAACTCCCGTTCCTGCTTCTGTTGCTGCTGTTCGTCCTTGTCTTCCTCCTTCCGTAGCCGTTTTGACTCAAGATGCATGTGCCCGTGGCAGTTCACGGATACCGTTGATCCGCGGCAGTTCCGTTTCCATGTCGCAGCAGTCGCAAAGCTTTGCGCTGGCACTCGGCCTGGCGTGTTCTGTGAGGTCCTGCAGGAGCAACGACATGTCATGGCGTGGCGTCGTGAAGCGCCTTGGCACAGGAACCGTTTGTGGTTCGGTGATGGTGGAAGCGGCGAGCGTCGCCTTCAGCAGCGTCGCCAATGGTACTCGGTGTGTTCGGAGTGCGGCCGCTGGGAATATGACAAGCACGGGAATTGGAAGTGCAACAGGTGCGGTGGCCGATCTCGTGATGATGATCACGGCGACGGCTTGCCCAAGTCCCCGCATCTTGCTCACGATAATGACCTTGAGGCGTTGGCTCAGCACCTGCAGGCGTTGTCCACCACGCTCCCGACGATGGCGGGTGTGCTCGAGACCGCCGTGGTGGGTGTCGTGCCCGAGATTGCTAGTGCGCCCCAACCTGCTTCGGCCCCCGTCGTGGACAAAAAAATGGTTGTTCATTGTACCGTTTTGGCGATTGCGGCCGAGGCGACGACCAAAGAAGGAGGGCGCCGCCCATGCGGAGGTCGTGAACCGCAGGGCGTCTCTGTGCAAGCGCCGCGCGGCGGCTAAGCGTGCCAGCCGCGCGCATGACGAGATTACAGAGATGCTCACGATGGTCATGGCCGATGCCAAGGAGGCTGTGGACGCCGAGAACGGCGCTGTGGAAAGTGAGCTCCGTGATGCAGTTTGGGCCGAGAAAGCGGAAGTTTTTCTCGAGGCTCAGCGTGCCCGTGAGGCTGGGGCTCTCGAGGCTTTTGGGGTTGGCGGCGAAGGGTAGCCGGGGAGGGGTCGAGGGTGCAGGCGCTGCGGGCCCGCGCCCCCCGCAGCGCCAACGCGCCGCAGGCGGACTTCCCCCGGCAGTTGCAGGCGCCTGGCGCAGGCGGTAGGGCAGCCCAGGCCCAGCCAGCCCTGGCCCCAGTGGCCCCAGGCCAGAGTCACAGAGCTTGGAGGAGTCGGCTGGCAATGGATCTAGGAGCGCCATCACGAAATTGAGGAGTCAAGTCTGGACAAAATCGTGCAGAAATCACACCTCAGCTTGGCCCAAGTTGGCAGGATATGCGCAAGGTCGCGATGTCGCACCAGGATGAAGCTGAGATGGATTCTTTCAGTGTTGGCAGTGATGCTGGCGATGCTACCAGAGCATGGAGAGATAAACAACATCCGCAGACATGCTGCAGAAGGCGGGCTTGGCGCATCTGCCTCCCAGCGCTATGGCGAGCTTGTCAGTGAGCAGGCCTTGCAGCGAGCCGTCTAGGAACCTCGGAGGGTTGTGCAGCATCAGACCGCGAGTGCGTTTGTCGCGCTCCGGTAGGATTCGGCCGCCCAACTCGAGACCCATCTCCGAAGCGCCTGCTGGCGAAGCCATCCAGGGCAGCCAGGCGCAGAGACTTCAGCGAGACGGAGGCGGAGCGCCTCGCTCGTGATCGGAAGCGCTCGCCCGATTGTGTGTTCCTGCTTGCAAGTGCGACGAGACTGCCAGACATCTCTACGGCGTTCGTGGCCGCTTTTCTCTTTGATGCTGCGTTCGTCGCAGAGCATCGGTTTCTCGTGGACGCGGCCTTGACGGCCAGCGGAAATCTCGCATAGTTGGTTGGAGCCCGCATTGCTCCAGGAAGCTTTGGCGTCTCCGGGAGGTGGACATCACGGGGGAGGCGCGTGCTTTGCACGGCGCAGTTTGCAGTTCCAGAAGTTGTTCGGAGATGCTCCCCGAACCGCCCAGTCGAGGCATGGTTCCAGCTGTGTTTTCCTCCTCCTGGAACAGAAGTTGCGCTGCCAGGCCAGGCCCGTCGGTTTTGTAGCTGGTTCGTTATCTGGGAGCTGTTGGCGGGGATCTGGCGCGCCGCATGCAAACCTCTGATTTTGCGAGCAGCCTGTCTGCGCCCCGGGCCCCCCGCCAGGACTTCAGCATGCCCCCTGGATTGTTGGAGGAGCGCGCTCTTGCATCTGATTCGTTCGAGGATTGTCGCGCCGTCTACGGTTGAGCTTACCTGCGCCGCTGGGCGCGCCTCGACTGAGCGCGCTCGACGGGCGCGGCCCCGCGCGCCCGTGTGCAGGCGGCTCCCCGCTCTCCTATCAAGACCCGCACTTGCTCGCGCGCGATTGCCCTCGCTGACGCCCCAACCCGCGCGGCCCGGCGCCGCGCCGCGCTGCTGGGCTTCCCGAGGCGCATCGGGCAGACCACCTCTGGCCGCATTGTTTTGATCTGGCGCGCACGCGCGGCCATCAGCCTCGCGGTCCGACGATTTGCGCGAATGGGGCGCTGGCCATGCTGCGCCCTTTCGCCGCTGTTCCGCTGTCGGAGGACCCTGCCGCGCGGCGCCGGGCTTCGGAGACGACGCGCGCGCCAGGAATTCGGGCCCCCCGGAGGGTGGGGGCCCCGTCTCGGGGCGCGGCGGGGCGATCCACAGGTTTCCGGGGGCCCAGACAGGCAGGCTTGCGACGCGCCCAACTTATGCTTCTGGTCCATGGCCCGCGTCGTTGCGAGCGAGTTCCGGCGGGCCGCGGGGCGCGACGCGCGCCCCGAACATGCGGACCGTTTGCCTTCATTTTTTGGCGGCGCATGCGCGCCGAGTTTCTGGCGCGCCCGGGGCCGTTGGAGTCTCGCGAGCATGCTAGGCGATGGCGCGCTGATCTCTCGGCCTTTCCCCTCGCGCCCGTTTCCGCGCGTCGCCGCGTTGATGGCGCCGCCGAATTACTCGTCATCAGTCAGTTGCGCACTCGCAGCTAATCTGGGCGGGGTCAAGACGCGGCTCCGTGATGCTCTTCCTGGAGGGGGTAGAATGGCGCGCGCGCGGTTCAAGCCTGAAAATATGATGCGCGTGGAACATCTGGTTGCCCCTGACGGCGCCCGTAAGGCCCCTTTGGACATGACGCCGCACCATCAATCGCTCCGGGGCAAAATGCGGAATCCCCCGACACCCCATCGGCATTCCGAGGTCCTGATTGAGATGCTGTCTGGCCTGCGCGCTGAAGCCAAGAACTTGCCCCCCCAGTGGTTCCTGCGTTTGCGTCGGCGGGCCTTGGCCGGTGGTCGCCGCGAGCGTTCTTAGACCCCCCTGGCCAGGCGCTCGCTTCGCTCGCCGCCATCTCTCGTCAGCGCAAGAAGTTGTCGACCTTCCTGCGGCAATTTAACGTTGAATGTGATCGCCGTCCTTCCGACGCCGGCGAACGATGATGGCGCGACCTCTACGTGCCCGAGTGATTCGCGCGCATGCGCGACTGCGTGGTGAACGCGTTGATACGCGGCGCGAAGCACGCGCAAGTTTCTGGGACCTGGCCGTTCGGGGCCCATCGGCCCTCCGGGCCGCTTAAACTCACGATTCGTGTCGTGATGTGGCTAGTTCCGTCGGGTTCGAGAGAATTGGTTCGATTTGGTGTTTCCGTGGCCGCTGGCGCAGCTCGCGCGCGAGGTTGATTATCACGCTCATCTCCCGCATGCGAACTTTGCCGCGCAAGCTCGCCCGCGTCTGCTCGGAGTTGCTGGCGCCATCTCGGACGCGACCCCCGCGGGCCGGTCGATTCTTGCTGGGCGTGCTCATTCGATGCCGGGGGGCAAGGCGCCATTGCATGATGTGTTCGATCGTGTTCATCGGTGGTTTCTTGCGCGGCCCGTTCGATCCCGCGCGGATGATTCTGCTCGGCCCACCCGAGATACGCGCGCGCAGCGCACCTTCCCTGCCGACTGCTGCTGCTCATTTTCTGCCGATGCGAAGCCAGCAACAGCCAGCGCTGCGTCTGCCTAGTCCGCAACGGCGGCCTGCCTCAATCGCGACGTTCGCGCGCGATCGCAGCTTTGTTTGTTGTGGTTTATGTGTATATGTGTATACCTATATATGTACGCGTGTATATATATATATATATATATATACATATATATATATTATGTCATGAGGGCAAGCGGCTGCCCGTCAAGCCCGCGCGCGCGGCAAGTGGAATATCACGGAGGGCCTTCAAGGGGCCCCCGCAAGCTTGCGCGCCGCGCCATGCCTCGCCCGTCTGCGCGAAGCAGAAGAATCACGGACCTGGAGTTTTCTCCGAGGGACCATGCGGCCATGGACCTCGCGGCGGCCGATGTCCAGTGTTTTCGGTCGCAGGCGGTGCAGTGCGCGCGGCGCAGGGGCTCGGGAACCTGCGCGACCGCCACGCTTGTCAGAAGTAGTGATGTGTTTGGCGGCCCTGCTTCTCGCGCGAGCAGGGAACAGCTGCTTTCCGTTGCTAACCTTCCTGGGTTTTCCGTCGTTTCGGCACGCGCGCGGGGCCGGGCGCGTCTGGCCCAGCGACGAGGATCGACCGCGCTCTCTGGAGGCTCGGAGACGGCGGGGGATTGTGAAGGGACTGATTGCCGCAGCTATGTGCGCCATGCTGGACCTGGGGTAGGTTTCTGACCTTGCCGCCTTCTGGCCAACCGCCATCTGACAAATTTAGCAGCGAAGATCGCGATTTGCCCCGCCGTCTTTTCTGTTGCCACGTGCGCCGCCCTCTGGTGCACCGCGCGGTCGGAGGCTTCTCGCCGTCTTTGCTGCGCTGGCCACGAGGGGTGAGCTGATTTCATGTTTTCCAGGTTGCCCGTTTTGCTGATGCATTTTATACGGCGGGCCTTGGCCCGATGTCAGGCTGACGCCAGGCATTAAAGAGGCGGTCTTTGCCCGCGAGGTGGAGTTGACTGGGCGACGCCGCGCCGCCGAGCGCGGGGCTGTCCGCGCAGTGGCCGCGTTGGTTCCAAGCGCGCGTCGCAGCCCGGTGGGCATGTTGAACCCGCGTTGCATGATCATTAAGCATCGGCGTGCAGCGTTCGGGAACAGAGGTCCCCCGCCGAGCCCCGCTGCCGCGTCTGCTCTGCCCCCCCTCCCCGCCCCCCCCCGCAAGATTGCGCGGTCGCGGGGTCTGTTCGCTGACGTGAACGCAGCGGCGGGGGGCAAGGCGCGCGCGCGCGGTTGGGGAGGGTGCGGATTGGATGCGCCTGGCAGTAAGTGCGCTAAGATGCCGGATGCGTCGTTGCGGCTGGTCGGTCGTTCGCCCCGATGAGGAGAGCGCGCGCGATTTTGAGTTCAGGGGCGATGCTGTTCCGACGGTGCGCCCGCCCTACGAGGGCCTTGTCGAGCCCGAGGTCCGAGCTGTAAGCGTTCAGCACGATGCTCTCTCATGCGCCGGATCCTGCTGCAGCTTCTGCTGGTTATCTCCAGCTCGCTCGGGGCCGAAGACAAACCCGATCTCATGTGTCCAGGACCTCCCAGACGCTGGATCTGCGGACTCGCATCGGGGTCTCACCTGCGCCCGCGATGGACAGGTCGATGGGCAGGCCCGCGCTAGCAAGCCTCTGCGCGCTGGTCGGGGAGGGTCCGAGGCTGAGTTTTCTGAGTGGTGTTGCCGCCGCCGCGGGAGAGACCCCCAGGATGTATGTTGATGGCGTTGGCGAGGTTGACGGTGTGACACCTCTCGCGCGCTGTTGCGTTTTTCGCTGCTACCCTTGAGGTTAGTCTGGCCAGGCAGCGCCTGCGAGCTGACCGCGCGGGCCCCCCCTCCACCTCGCCCTCGCGCCGCCCCCTTCTGGTGCCGCCCGCGAGCAGCGGCTGGAGGCTGCAAGGCATGCCCCGCGCCTTGTGGGCACGCGTCTCGCTTGCGCTATCTGCAGCATATGAACTTCGAAGCGGTGCGGGGTCGAGCGTGCAAATGCTGGCCAGGGAGGTAGATGTTTGGGCCCGCCAGCGCTCAGGCAGCAGGAGGGCCGCGACGGAGTTGTCGCCCACCCTGCCGCCATGCGGGCCCACACCACCATGTTTTGTTCGTTTTCTTTGCATTTGTTGTACGCACATCCAATATTGTGTGCTTTCTGGCGTAAAGACTGACTCCCGCGGGGGCGTTGGTTAAGGAATGTGCTCAGGGTGCTTCAGATCCTGCAGGATTACCTATCTGATGAGGGCGGCGGTGTTATCCATGGCCGATCCACGACTGGAGTTCCACTGCCTTCCAGACCTTGGATTCCTGATCTAAGGGTTCCCTACCCAACGCCTCCACCGCATTGTGTGCTGTCTGCTGTGAAGACTGAATCCGGCGGGGGCGTTGGCTAAGGAATGCGCTCAGGGTGCTTCAGACCCTGCAGGATTGCCTATCTGATGAGGGCGGCGGTGGTATCCATGGCCGATCCACGACTGGAGCTCCACTGGCTTCCAGACCCTGGATTTCTGATCTAAGGGTTCCCTATCCAACGCCTCCACCGCATTGTGTGCCGTCTGCTGTGAAGACCGCCCGGCAGATTGGCGAAACGCGCCCAGGGGTCCCAGCGCGCTCCCGGGGCCGACCCTCCCCCGGCCCCGCAAGGAGTTGGGGCCGGCGCCTTGTCCCCCGAGTGCCCCGGGGGCTTCCCCCGCAGTGTGGTGTGCGTGCTCCCTCGGTCTGCGTTTGGCCCTCGGGCCCTCGCGTGGCCAAGAGTGCTCGTAGGGTCCACGCCAGGTCGTCCTCCTCGTTCCCCATTTGTTTTGTCCCTCCTGCCCTTCCTACTTTTCGCCCGTCGCCACCTCCTCCCCCTCCGGTGTGTGCAGTTTTTTTTTCCCCCGATTGCTCTTGACGCGACGGCGCCTCTTTCGGGAGTTCCTGGTCGTCTACGACACGTCCTCGGGTAGAGAAACACATGAGCGAAATGGGAAAGGACAGGCGGGGGAGGAGGAGGAGGAGGAGAAGGAGGAGGAGGAGGAAGAGGAGGAGAGGACCGGAAGGGTGGGGAGGAGGAGGATGAGGAGGAGGAGGAGAAGGAGAAGGAGGGGAAGAGGAGGAGAGTACCTGAGGGGGGAGGATGAGTGGGAGGAGGGAGTAGAGAAGGAGGAAGGAGGAGGAACGAGTCATGAGAGGACCGGAGGGGGGGGAGGGGGAGGGTGAGGAGGAGGAGGAGGAGGAGGGAGGGGTGAGGAGGAGAGGAGGCGAGGAGAGGGAGAGGAAGGGGGTCGCAGAAGAGGAAGGAGGAGATGAGGAGAAGGGAGGAGGAGAGGAGGAGAAGGAGGAGGAGGAGGAGGAAGAGGAAGAGGTCCCTCCTCCCCTCGCTATGGGCCCCACGCGTCTGCCAGGTGCTGCTCTCCAGTGTTCTGCAGTGGTCAGTGGAAGCTGCGCGCGACTGGCAGGTCGATTCCCGCCGCGCTCCCAGGCCGTCTCCGCTGCGCGTCCTGTCTACGTCATAGGCACCACGTGTCGCCCCACCGTGGCGCAAAGCTTGTGGTGCCTTCAACCGCCATGAGTGAGTGAGTGAGTCGTGGTGCCGAAGTCTGCGCTTGGACGGAGCAGCAGATTTGCCGAAAGTGTACCAACGCCCGAAAATTCATATTGTCGACGTGCTCGTTTTTTTGTGTATTGCGCTGTAGTACTTCTAGCTTGTTGTTGTCCGCTACTGCCCCTGGAAAAAAAAACGGATCTGTCTTCGGCTCTGGCCGTTGGTGTGCAGAGCAGACCGACCCACGACATCTTCACGGGCGCGCCAAAGAAACATATGGACCACGATGCTCTAAGATCTAGGATGGCTTCTGGGGCCCAAGGCGACCCAAGGCAGTGCCAAGACGGCCCAAGGTTCCACCCAAAGTGCGCCGACACTGCCCCGGAGAGCCCCCGAGGCCCCAAGACGCTTCAAGAGGACCTCACGAGGCCTCCGAGACGGCCCAAGAGGGTACGAGCAGACCCCCCCCGGGCAGCCCAGGAGTGCCCCACGACGCCCCACAGGGCGTTCCGACGCTCCGAGGGCAGCGGCCGAGGACGCAAGAGGCCGGCCAGGCCCCCGCGACGAGCTGGCGTCCGCTAGCCATTCCTTTGCTCGGCGGCGAGGGAGGGGGGGAAACGAGAAGAGAAGGCCTTCTCAGAAGGCGGCGGGATTTCTCAGAAGCTCTCGCGCCTTCCGAGAAGTTTTTGCCTGTCCTCGGGGAAGGCTCGGATGACTTCTCAGAAGGCCCCGGGAGCCCCGAACCTCCTGAGGAGGCGTTCTCCTCCTCACTTCCCCCCCACGCTCGCCGCCGATGTGCGCCCAGGATCGATTTTATCTAAGTGAGGGCTCAGAGGTGTGTTCCCCTGGCCGGCCGGCCGAGGAGGAGGAGGAGGAGGAGGAGGAGAGCTGGCCTGCGCGCGTGGGTTCGGCCCCGCCCGCGGCCCCCGAGCGCCGAACGCATCAGAGGTCGCCCTGACCCCAGGGCCACTCTGGCGTGCAGCGCCGGCGGGAGCGCGCCCCCCCCCCAACAAAAACACAAACACACACACACACACAACAAAAAAAACACAAACACACAACAAAAACAATCAAAACACACACTGTGGGGAAAACTCTCACACACAAAACACACAAAAAGCACAAACAACAAAACAAAACAAACAACACTGGGAAAAACACACACACACAAAACACACACACAAAAACACACACACACAAACACACACACACACACACACACACACAAAACACACACACACACACACAGTGTGTGTGTGTGTGTGTGTGTGCATGTTTTTGTCCCCACAGTGTGTGTGTGTGTGTTTGTGTGTGTGTGCTTTTTCGATTCTGACAGTCGGAGGTCAGCAGAGCCTCCATCCTGCCGAGTCGGTGTCCGCGATGTGCCATGTTTGGGCTGTCAGGACAGCGTCGGGCCCGCATTTTGTTGCGGGCCCGGGCCCTCCGGGTCTGGTCCCTGGCTGTTCGCACCACGGGGTGTTTTGCTAAAGGGGATGGGTCCACCCCCAATGCAAGCGATCATTGACCTCCCAGCGCCGACTCATCGCACCTTGCAGTGTATCTTGGCCGTGAGGGCACAGGCCCAGATTCTATCAACAGTGACCTTGGCCTTGAGGGGGACCGCCCGCGTTTCCAGCGATTCAAGAAGCTAAAGTCTGAGGCCAGCAAGTCCTGAAGTTTGCAAATACGGATGTGTGAATAGTTTTTGATTGCGCAGGTGTTTGGATGCAACCATTCAAGGACCGTTGCGAAGTTGCGAAGCGACCCTCCGCGGAGCAGCGTGGGGGCCCCGCAGGGTGGCTGGCAGATCTCAGCTATGTCAGCAGTGTCGTGCTCTTTCCCTCTGTATATGTATGTGCGCAGCGTTGAGGGGTAGTTGTGCTGTTGGTTTGTTCCTCTCTCTCTCTCTCGCCAGATGGGCTTGGCAAAGGGAGGCTAAAAGGGGAGGAAGCGAGGGAAGCAGACGGAAGGATATCGACAAATGTCCGCAGCCATCTTACCCAGACCCCCGAAGTCATGTTTTTTTCATGACGTCGACCCACAGAGGCTTGGACCCCTTCCCCAGGACCGGTTTCTCATCCTGAGTCGTTTATTGACGGTCCCGGGGCCCGGCGAGGTCCTTCGGAGGCCGACAAGTTATTTGTTCATTACTCGAGGGGGTCTGGGTACCGCGCATCTTTTCATGCGCTTCCTCCAGGTGATCCCTGCACGGGGAGGCCGCTACCAGGATGCGGGGATGATATCCAGCTGCCTGCGGTCAGCCCCGCCACAGCGCCAGCGCAGCCACACTCGGCGTGGCGACGCTTCTAGCATCGCCCAGAAGGCCCTCTTCTTCCTCCTCCTCCTCCTCCTCCTCCTCCTCCTCCTCCCCCTCCTCCTCCTCCCCCTCCTCCTCTTCCCTCCTCCCTCCTCCCTCCTCCCTCCTCCCTCCTCCCTCCTCCCTCCTCCTCCTCCTCCTCCTCCTCCGCCTGCTCCTCCTCCTCCTCCCCGCAACATGTGGCACCTCTCGTCTCTATTCCTTGATGGGGCTCTCACGGAGGCGACGGGGGCCGTCTTGAGAATATTTTGGGGTCCTGCAGGGCCCCTTTGGAGCCCTCTTGGGACTCTCTTGGGCCGTCTTGGTGTCCTCTCGGGCCGTCTTGGTGCTGTTCGGGGCCCTTCTCGGCCGTCTTGGGGGGTATTCTGGGGCCGTGTTGCAGGCTTCTTTCGGGTTTGGCCAGGCCCGCAGGTCAGGGGACCCCGTTCGTGGTAGGGCCCTGGAGCCCTTGAATGGGCCAGAATCACTAAACCAGGTTTGCCATAGCTGGTGTTTTTCGGGTGACGGCAATTCCGATTAGTGGAATGGGACAGGGGGGGGCGTCCCCGGTACAGATCACCAAACCAGGTCCCACTAAACCCAGTTCTGCCAACGCCTGATTCTTGGGGCCCCCTTGGAGCCAACTCGGGCTGTCTTGGGCCCCTCTTGGGCCGCTCAGGCGCCCTGGAAGCGCAACAGATTCGACAACCGCTTGGTTTCCTTTTCTGGTGCTGGAATGCTTTGGGCTTTTCTGGGGGGCCGCCTGTTTTTTCATGTACCTGAACCCTTTAGGGGCCCCTCTGGCGCCTCTTAGAGTTCTCTCGGGGGCCGCTCCGTGCCTCGCAGGCCACGGGAAGCTCGGGAGAGCGC